AGCCCATTGATTAGCCTCGTTGATGTGAGACTTTCTCCTTTTTTGTCTTCTCCACATAACCCCCTCATTATTCTATTCCACCCATGATGCTATATCCATGGCTCGCGCTCATGTATTGCGTGAAAGTTTATAGGTTTGAGATTACTAAAGTATGTAATAATTGCTTGGCTTGTCATCGGGGTTGTGCATGACGAGAGCATTCTTGTGTGACGAAAATGAAGCATGACTAAACTATATGATTTTGTAGGGATGGACTTTCTTTGGCCATGTTATTTTGAGAAGACATAATTGCTTAGTTAGTATGCTTAAAGTATTATTATTTTTATGCCAATATGAACTTTTGTCTTGAATCTTTTGGATCTGAATATTCATATAACAAGTAAGAAGAATTACATTGAAATTATGCCAACTAGCATTCCACATAAAAAATTATCTTTTTTATCATTTACCTACTCGAGGACGAGCAGGAATTAAGCTTGGGGATGCTTGATACGTCTCCAACGTATCTATAATTTTTGATTGCTCCATGCTATATTATCTACTGTTTTGGGCAATATTGGGCTTTATTATCCACTTTTATATTACTTTCAGGACTAACCTATTAACCGGAGGCCCAACCCAGATTTGCTGTTTTTTGCCTATTTCAGTGTTTCGAAGAAAAGGAATATCAAACGGAGCCGAAACGGAACGAAATCAACTGGAGAAGTTATTTTTGGAAGGAAAGCCACCAGATAGACTTGGACTCTACGTCAGAAGACACGGGAGCTGGCCACGAGGGTGGGGGGCGCGCCCACCCCCCTAGGGCGCGCCCCCGAAGCTCCACCGACGTACCCCTTGCACCCATATATACCTACGTATCGTAAAACTTCCAGAACGGAGATTAGATTGGGAGTTCCGCCGCCAGAAGCCTCCGTAGCCACCGAAAACCAATCTAGACCCGTTCCGGCACCCTGCCGGAGGGGGCAATCCTTCTCCGGTGGCCATCTTCATTATCTCGGTGCTCTCCATGACGAGGAGGGAGTAGTTCTCCCTCGAGGCTGAGGGTATGTACCAGTAGCTATGTGTTTGATCTCTCTCTCTCTCCCTCTCTCTCTCGTGTTCTTGAGGTGATACGATCTTGATGTATCGCGAGCTTTGCTATTATATTTGGATCCTATGATGTTTCTTCCCCCTCTACTCTCTTGTAATGAATTGAGTTTCCCCTTTGAAGTTATCTTATCGGATCGAGTCTTTAAAGATTTGAGAACACTTGATGTATGTCTTGCCGTGCGTATCTGTGGTGATAATGGGATACCACGTGATTCACTTGATGTATGTTTTGGTGATCAACTTGCGGGTTTCGTCCATGAACCTATGCATAGGGGTTGGCACACGTTTTCATCGTGATTCTCTGGTAGGAACTTTGGGGCACTCTTTGAGGTCCTTTGTGTTGGTTGAATAGATGAATCTAAGATTGTGTGATGCATATCGTATAATCATGCCCACGAATACTTGAGGTGACATTGGAGTATCTAGGTGACATTAGGGTTTTGGTTGATTTGTATCCAGGGCCGTCTCCAGGAATTCGGGGCCCCGGTGCGAAAAGCAAAATGAGGCCCCTAACATTAAAAAACATATAATATAACTCAAGCATAATCACATGATTATATAATTCAAATTTATGTTATTTCGTACAATGTTTAGGAAATTCTCAAGTATCAACACAAAATACCAAAACCAAGAAACTGACCTCATGCTCTATTTAAGAGTGTCATCTGTCTCGCGTTCATTGATATGTAATCTTCAATTATATCTTCATAATCAATCTTCTCCAACACATCATTTCCAAGTGCTAGTTTCTCCAAACCATTAAGTATTTCTCGTGTCATATTAGAATGTAAGTAGGACTTCAAGAACTTGATTTTAGAAAAGCTCCTTTCCGCGGATGCAACAATTACAGGAATTGTTAACCAAATACTTTCTTCTAGACCTAGGATGCATAATTGTTTCTGTTTATGAATCAAACAAAAATCATATCAACGAATTTGAACTGATGAGCTCCATGACTTATAGGCTTGTAACTTGGATAGATAGTTGGAATGGAAAAACATAGAACCTTGATTTAGGACTTGGAAGAGGAGCTATTGAAAATCTTGAATCTGTGACCGACAAAAATTGTTCCAAAACATATTACTATAGTAACTAGTAAACTGTTATACAAACTTGCAGCTCAGTTTATCGGAATTAGTTAGAGAAAAGGGCGGCACCAGTTGGCCTTCTGTTTGGCGGCACTACGGCAGTGTTGGCGGGCTTGGCGGCGGCCGGCGCTCGCAGCTAGCGTGTAGTTTCGCATCGGGCTGTCCCGTGGCTGCAAGGAGGTCACCGCCGAGCCGCCGATTCATCAGTCGAAGCGAAAAGGATGGGAAGCGAAGGGATTAGGGAATGAAACGGCAGAAGTCACGGAACATACATCGTTGCGGCTGTCGTTTCGTCTATCAATCGGATGGATCCGAGCGATGAGATTTTGTTTTGGTCGATAATCCAAGTTACTGCGTATGGCTTGAGTGGACCAAGCCCAAACGGGAGCGACAGAGGCAACATTGGCCCAAACCTGATTTTTTTCAGACTAATACGTACACATATGTAGACCCGAATTGGGGGCCCTGGATTTTGGGGGCCCTGTGCGAGCGCACAGCTCGCACAGGCCTCTCAATGGCCCTGTTTGTATCTTAAGGTGTTATTCTAGTACGGACTCTAGGGCTGTTTGTGACACTTATAGAAATAGCCCAACGAATTTGATTGGAAAGAATAACTTTGAGGTGGTTTCGTACCCTACCATAATCTCTTCGTTTGCTCTCCGCTATTAGTGACTTTGGAGTGACTCTTTATTGCATGTTGAGGGATAGTTATGTGATCCAATTATGTTATTATTATTGAGAGGACTTACACTAGTGAAAGTATGAACCCTAGGCCTTATTTCCACGCATTGCAATACCGTTTACGCTTACTTTTATCATTAGTTACCTTGCTGTTTTTATATTTTCAGATTACAAAAATTATTATCTACTATCCATATTGCACTTGTATTACCATCTCTTCGACGAACTAGTGCACCTATACAATTTACCATTGTATTGGGTGTGTTGATGACACAAGAGACTCTTTGTTATTTGGTTGTAGGGTTGCTTGAGAGAGACCATCTTCATCCTACACCTCCTACGGATTGATAAACCTTAGGTCATCCACTTGAGGGAAATTTGCTACTGTGCTACAAACCTCTGCACTTGGAGGCCCAACAACGTCTACAAGAAGAAATGTTGTGTAGTAGACATCACGAGCCGCCCCTCAGCCACGCCAGCCGCATCTCTACCCTCCACCGTCGACCGCTCGCCTCGCCTGCTGCGTGTTGCTTCCTGCTGCTATGTGCTGCTCTACCGCTGGTACGCTGCTGCGCCATACCCTCGACACCACCATGGACAAATGTGGCAGAAGGATTGTTAATAGAGTACGAGAAGGAGGTGACGAAGAAGGTGTGAAGAGGCAGGAGGTCTGGGGCGGTGTCACCTGGCTGTGGTGGAGGTGTTTATGCGAGAAGGTGCCGGAGTGGAAGAAGATGTCACAATTGGAAAGAATCGCAAACAAAATCATAACCCGAAGATCTCAGTTCAAAAAAATGCTAATATCGATGGAGGGGTGATTTCCTTCAATAGGTGAAAAACATACGAAATATTGGTTGTTATCAAGGAAAGGTAAAAGTCTAGGAAAGTTAGGATTTTTGAACTGATTTCTATGTAAATAGGGTTTTATTGTTTGGTAACGTGATATCAGTACCTGCCCATTTGTGACGTGTTTGATTAGGAAAGTTTGCAAATGTTAAGAAACTATTTATTGGGAGGAAAGTTGTGACGTGTCTGTTATTTGTTTTTTTAAAATAAATTTCACTAATAAGATAAATCGATTGATTTAGATAAGTTAGAAAAGTTAGATTAAAATGTATTATTTGTTTTGTGAAAATCTGTTATTTGTTTCCTAAAACAAATTGAACCTACAAAAGGAATCGATTGATTTGCATAATTTAAGAAAGTTAGATTAAAATGTATTATTTGTTTACTGAAAATCTGTTGTTTGTTTCTTAAGACAAATTGAACCAATAAAAGAAATAGATTGATTTGCATAATTTAAGAAAGTCAGGTCCGTGATTTGTTATACGTTAGGAAAGTTCTGGTTGTAATAAAGAGCGGAGAGAAAAATAAACTGATGGACCAGGGTGGGAGGGGGTGGTGGGAGAAAAGACGAAAAAAACCAGCGAAAATAAATCGCGAACCAGGGTGGGAGGGGTGGTGGGAGGAGAGACGAAAAAACTCACCAAAAATAAACCGCGGAGACGGTTCATCAACTCGTTCATTAGGAGTAAAGATGAGTCTATATGTGTTGGCATTTATGAGAAAAAAGATAGGCAGGACACAATTTAAAAAAAAGGCAGTCAGGACACAGATTCCGCAGTAGTAAAACAGATCAGTCCGGGGTCGTGGCCTCCACTCGGCATCTTCTTCCTCCCCCACATCGCACTTCCTCCCCTGCTAGATTCCTCCCTCCACCGACCGGCAAGGCTTCTCTCCTGCAGTTCCCTCGCCCAAGGTTGCACCAGAGAAGGCGAAAAACATCGCTGTTTGCGAGATCGTGGAGCGGTGAGTGGCCATCTTTCTTCAGTTTGTGTTCAGTAGCTGCGCTGTGAGTTTCAGATCTGTTTCTCTCCCCTAAGGTTAGATCAGCGACGGTTTCTTTCTTCTCTTCGCATTTGTTGACTTGGGACGGCAGCCTATGCGGTTCGTGGAGGTTTGATCTCATCCATGGTATCTCGGGTTATGTTACAGCGATGCTTACGGATCGGACTCTCACACCGAGCTCGCTGATTACAGAATACCGAGTGCTTTGGCATAGTGGCTGTAAGATTATTGCCGGATCACCGGTTCTCAGCGTGGTGGGTTGACGCGTTTGTTGGTTCCTGCAGGTAGAGAGAGATGGCCGAGACGGTGTTCGCTCCGTGTTTGGAAGGGATGAAGCACGTCAGGTCGGACAGCGGGGTCATGCTCGCCAAGCCCTTCCTTGATGTCTGCAAGCAAATCTTGCCTGTCCTGGGTAACTCCCTCTGCTCATATTTCCCACCTCTTTGTCATGCGTTGGAGTGCTAAACAGCACGAGGCTGGGATCAGTAGCCGAGTTGCTTTACTGATGAATTTCTGATTACCTACCGTGTTTAGTTCAGTAGTAGGCTGCAGCAGTGAACAACCTGAGTAAAATTAATGCACATAACATTGCCGAAACAAGTTGTTCCCCAGTTTGAGACTAGCATCGTCAGTGGACAATTGTTTGTACTGCTCTTGAGATTTGTAGTTCTAAATAAGTACTTTGTTCGTAAATGTAAGCCTTTTTCTGAATCGAATGTCTGTAGACACGTTTTAGTGTGTTTGCTCACTCATTTCAGTTCTATGTAGTCCATATTGAAATATCCAAAACATCTTATATTTGTGAACGGAGGGAGTAACAAATAGTTATATCAGGGCCTTTGGCATAGGGAGATGACTTTCTTGGTTTATGCTTTTGCCCTTATTGATTTCACTGGGAGCTTAGTACTGCTGTGACTTATTAGTTGCTGCATCATTGAGCTTTCAAACTTCTTTTTTTATTGCTGGAAAGAGCTTTCAAACTATCATCAACCTTTTTGCGAAAGTTGTGTTTTGTGTGTGCTGGGCTGCTCTAAATTGTTTAATGTACATTAGTCCTCCAAATAACTGATTTGGTACACCTGTCACTTGAGCAGAATTGATTTGTGACCTATGAGAGAACATGCTAGGTTTGTCGTGGTCCAGTAAAGCTGTCTTTCTTATTCTCAAAGTTTTCATTGTATGCTGGTAAATCTTAAAGTCGTATAGTACCAGTCTGTGCTGTGCTTTTGTAAGTCAAAGCAAGTCCCTAAATGAAAACTTTTGTGTTGGCCCAAACTGCACAGGCCTACATCAAATATCTTCTATTCTAACAAGTGTGGCTAACTTTTTGTTTTGGTGCAGTCTTAGTGGTATTTCTTAAACAAGAAATTCCTTCAGAGTGTTACTTATTTTCCATTTGTTGTTCTCTGCTTTTAAACACCAGATAAATTTGGTGCTGCTATGGCAATTGTGAAGAGTGATATTGGAGGTAATATCACGGTAAGGATCCTATCTTCAAAACATGTGAATGAGAATTTACATTTCATGTTTCTTTTCCTGACGACTGACCTCATTCTCTCCTGTCAGAGGTTGGAGAACAAGTACTCTTCAGACCCGACAAAATATGAGCACTTGTACACCATGGTCCAAGAAGAAGTTGAAAAGAAGACCGCAAAAGGTTCATCAAGCTGCACAAATGGACTTCTATGGCTCACGAGGTTCTTCAATTTCTCTTGCGTAATTTGCCTCTTCTACTGCAGCTTAATCGAGATTCCCATTGGTGTACTTGTGTTTACTCATATTTTTTGCTTTCAGGGCTATGGACTTCCTTGTTGAACTGTTCCGTAATCTGCTTGACCATCCAGACTGGACTATGAGTCAAGCATGTACTGATTCATACACAAAAACTCTGAAGAAATGGCATGGCTGGCTCGCCAGCTCCAGTTTTACGGTATAATATTCCACATTTTGAGTCACATAATCAGCACATACATGGTGTCATCATGAACTAAGCAATTATAGTGCTATTCAATAGCTATTGCTGAAGCACTTCTTATCAGAGGATGGATTATATAACTCTGCATTTAGTGTCCGAATAAATATTTCATCATCATAGATGCATAAAGTAAAGGGACGACTAGTGTTATCCAATTGAAGGCACCATAGATGAATAAACCTTGGCTACTCTTTGTATTTAAGTTACTGGCCATGTTTCAACTGAAGGCACTGTGGATGCATAAAACATTGGCTATTCTTTGACTCTTTCTACATTAAGCTGATGGCCATATTTTAATGGAAGGCGCCATAGATGAATAAACAGGGGGTATTTTCTGTTTACTAAGTTGCCAACCCTTTTTTGTCCATTGAGTGAACAAAATTTAGTCACTGATGAAGTTCTCTTTATCTCCTTTAATACTATTATATGGGAATCGGTGTCTGTTCATTGAGGCCTCCAACATCTGTTTCCAACATTATTACAGATTCCATTTAAAAACTGAAACACAATGAAGCCCCTTATCAAACCAACTTAACTACCTCCTAAAAATCTCTAATGCATGGCATGTCACAAAGAAGCATGACTAGGCGAATTGTGAAGCCAATTGACTAGTCTATTGAAATGGTACTGATGGTGGTTATGTAGGTCTGTCACGATAGTTCAGGGTAAGCGTAGGCGGAACTCGGATTAGCAAACAGACGTAGTCAGCTGATAGCTTTGGCTTAACATGATCGGTCATACATTTTTATTTGTATCACAAAGCACACAGGTATTTAGCTGGCTTAGTGATCATAGAGAACAATACATCACTTCCATTATTAACTTAAGAAGAGCTTTGCTTTGTTGGAGTTTTCTCAGAAGTTTTTTGTGTTAGAAAAATGCGACATGAATACTTGACTAGTTTGCCTATTGACTAGTCTGTTGAAATGGTACTTCTGCTATCCTATTGTTAGATTTCCTGACGAAACTGGGGCAACATGGCTGTTATTTGTTATCATGTCTATACATATTGGTTACCTTGCCTTCCCCTTGTGTTTTTTCTTTGATGAATCACTCGTATGAGGACATTGCAGGTGGCTATGAAGCTTGCTCCTAACAAAGATAAATTTATGGAGGTAATTAGTGGAACGGGTGACATCAAAGCAGACATTGAGAAATTCTGCACCACCTTTTATCCCTTTCTTAAGGAGAATCATGACTTCCTGGTATGGCCTTCATTCATCTGAAGACGGTATTATTATCTATATTGTTTGCCTTTAATGACAATCTTCCACCACGTCTACACTTCTTGCAGGCCAGTGTTGGACTCGATGACATGAAGGCTTCTTGATGCAATACACATCGATAATCATCACAGAATATCAAGTCTTGCTATTTTCTCAAATTTTATTGTGGCATACTGATCTTCAGAAAATTATAGACGAATAATAAGTCTGTCAAAATGTGTGGGTGTTCATGACCCATAGCTACTTACATACAGAATGAAATGAATGGATGCATGGTATCAAAATTAACTTGTGAAGTCACTTGGTTGTCAGCCAAGTCAACCATTTTACCTGTTGATGTAACTGAGGAGAATGCAGAGGATGCAGATATGTGGTGGTCTTGTCATTACGCTTATAAACTGTTGTACAAGTGGTGAGACTAAGATACAAATTAAGAGTATGTTTTTTATGCAACTTTTAAAGCAGTGTGAATTAGTAAACATGAAAATTCTAGCCTGTTTTGAGCACATTAGGGCAACCGAATTAATTATGGACCTTGTGCCGCTGCCTCCTTCAAAAAAGATGCCGGCGGTCCACCTTGTGTCGGGCCATGGGGGCGTGGTAGACCCTTGCTGCGGGAGGGGTATGTTTTTAGATGTTTCCTTTGCTTTTGTTAGGGTTTGTGAAATAAGGTTCTCTCTGCCTAGCCCCCATTCCAATGGTGCATCGTCGGAGGGCGTGTGAAGATAAAATAAGGTTTTCCCCGCCTAACCTGTTTCAATGGTGGTCTAAAATCATCAGAGGGTGTGTGGAACTGTCTTCGATGGATCTTGCAGAATTAGCTCGGTTGATATCTTTGATGGATCTACTCGGATACGATCGGCGTTCGTGTGCGGTGGTCCTCCAAGGGTTTTGCCTAGTTCATGTCTTGAGGCTGGATCCTCCCCATCTATGTGTTTTCGTCGTTGTTCTCGTTATCGGCAGTTGTTGTTTTGGTACATTGGTCCTCTACTGGCTTAGCATGATAACTATCCGGGTGTCTATCTACTACAACACTCGTCAGAAGATGACGGGGTTCACTGCTTATAGTCATCGGTGATCTTTGGATCTAAATGTAATTTTCATTATTTTTAGTATTCGTTATACTATCATGATTCAAAATGAATAGATCAAAAGTTTTCCAAAAAGAAAATCTACACCGCCTCACTTTTGGAGGTCATTTGTTAGCAGCTGTGGCAAAAAATGGTTTCCCAAACAAATTATTCTCTAGCGAGAAGAACAATCCATAGCATTTGCAATCAATCATTCATCAAAATACATAGTTGATGTCCACAAAGACACTAGTCATTTGGATATTTACACCTACATTACAATCATAAACTGGAATGCACTGACACGTGCAAAGCTAAAGGCTTACATCAACTGTTGAATATGCGCATTGAACATCATTGTGGATACTGTGATGACGAACAAGGAGAATTATTTGCTTCACTTGTGTAAAACACTTCTTGGTTGCACTTTGAGCTTCTTCTGTGGCCGAGTCTGCAGGCATTTGGCACAGATCAGTTAAATGAGCACCAGCATATGAGTAGTAGAGTAGGCCTCACAAAGACAGTCATGGGAACTAACCTTCGGCTTCAGCAAAGCTTCGTAGTCTATTCTACTCTTCCATGTGCTCTTCCGTAGCTTGATTGGTCGATTTCCAACATATTTACCTGGTTAGCAGTACATAAGTTTGACTGCAGTACAAGGACAAATTTAGTAAATAAAAGGCTACCTAATACAACATATTTACCGTTCATGTCTTTCAGTGCTGCTGCAAGATCCGATGCATTGGCAAAACTAACGAACCCGTAGCCTTTAGTTTTACCGGTAGACTTATCCCGTATAACCTGATGCATCATGTGTTCATAATCAGATCACTACAAATAAAGAGATAGAATAGATGTCATAGGTAGAAGAGGCAAGACTCACCTTAGCCATGTTGAAGGATGGATATTTTGAAAAAGTCTTGGTCAGAACATCATCATTCACTTCATTTCCAAGATCACCACAAAACAAACGGAAGTCATCTGTCCACGGGAGGGAAGTGAGAATTGCAAATATGAAAGGCACAGAAATACTCATACAATGGAAAGCAATCAAATGACACAACTACTAATAACCAGTACAAGCAGAAGACGAGACACCTGCACTGACACAGCAAATACAAATCCTAAGTTGCATTTGAAAACATCACAACCACCAATAATAAGGTAATTAACTTTAATTTGTTTAAAGTATGTCAACTTCAAATCAAATACAGTATTAAAATTTATAGCCCTTGACACTAGAGGTGATCCTAAGAGATATGGTCAGCGAGGCTTAGAGGCGTTAACTGAGATAAAAAGGTGATCTATCTACCATAGTGGCTAGATTGTGGGTGTTAGGGATGAAGACGCTCTAAGAAACTGATAATTTGATATAATTTCATCCGAACAGAAATTTTTTGTCTTGCCAAATACCAACCATGATTAAAGTGAATTATCATGCTTGATTTTATGCTCATTGAAAAATCATAAACAAATGCCGGTCAATCTGCCAGAGCTGAGATATATTTAAATATTTTAACTATGTTAGCTTATACAGATTACAAACAGATGGGTGCAATAAGAGCAAGGAAGCTGGCTCTTTGTTTTTTTAGCCTTCTCAAATAACCATAACAAATAATCACAGAGAATTGTTCAAAATATGTATAAAGGTTAATTCAAAATATTTATATCACATTTTCCACAATTGTCCATGTAAATAGCAAATTGCAAATGTATCCACAAGAGATCAATTTAGCCTTTAACGCACAATAGAACAATTTATGTAAGGATAGAGATAATTGCAAAATGTTTACTATATCATCAGCAAGCCCACCTAGATCCAATGTGAAAGCATCAACTCTTTAGCCTGCCTTTAACAAAAAAATGAAACAACAATTTATCTTAGAAGAAGAACAGCACATAGAACATTAATCTTGTCCGGGAGAGGGAAGGTGCTTTGGCTGTTTGTTAGCTTCATTGCTAAGAGAGACAAGTGACAAAAATATTGCATTACCATGTTTTACATTCTAATATAGATCATAGAAGTGCAACATTTGGTAAAATGCCCTATAAAATACGACTGAGAGCTTACTTTCAGGCCAGTCAGCTAACGTCGGATCCTCCCAGCATTGCCCAGCTGCCTTTCGAGGGACTGCCTTTTTGTTTGCTTCAACTTTCTTGTCTTTGTCATTATCTGCAATAGCAGCCTTCACAGTGGCGAGAGCCTCAGGGCTGATTATCTGCGAGTCTCTCTGGAACAGTTGTTGTGCCTGTATAATAATATCATAATTGGCTACTTATTAGTACTCAATAGGAGACTTGGTACTTACTACCAGTTCAATAACATAAAGATCATTTTCACTAACCTATCTACGAAAGAACCCTCTAATGTTAATAACATATAACCTCCTAATGCTCGGTTGGAAATAACTCATCACTTAGCATCCTTGTCTTTGCATAGCTTAAACCATACTCCCTCCATGACTTAATATAAGACGTTTTTTGACACTAACATAGTGTCAAAGAAAAACTTATAGCACGCTAATAGCATATTTTCAGCGGCGGCGCTATTTTGTACAGCGCCCTATTTCTTTTCTTGGCTAGCAATGAAGTAAGAAATACTAGTTCAGCTTTGGATGCGTTTTCGAACCTAAAAGGCGACCCAAGCCTCAGAAGCCGCACAGCGGCGTCCAGATCCTCTCCCACCACCGGATCTCCGACCACCTTAGCTCACTATGCCAACAAATTACAGGGAGGATCCGTCCATGGAGCAAATTACAAGGAGGAGCTCTGGAACAAATCACGCGAATGGGGAGTTATTACCTGCTGGACTTGGGGCATGGGGTAGACGGCGTTGTACGCCGGCGCCGGCTGCGCGGGGGCCACCGTCGGCCAGGTGGGGTACTGCGAAGTCTGGAGGTGGAAGGGCACGGGGAAGTACGACGGGGCCGCCGCCGCGGCGGTAGCAGGGTAGGGGAACTGCGCGGACACGGAGGCGGGCGAGATGGACTGCGTCGACATAATCTGGGGACTGGGGTGGAGAGGCCGCCGGACACGAAAGGGCTGGAAGGCTGGATCACGGTGTCCGCCTCAGGCGCGAGAATTCTGATCGTGCGCGGTTGCGGTGATTGAAACGGCACTCGGGGGGATTGCCTTGTGGAACCGGAAGAAGGTGAAGCCGAGGGGGGAACGATCAGGAACGCTCTCGAAGCGTCGCTTTTTTCAAGCGAAAGCTCTCGAAGGTTCTGCTTTTTTTCTGACTATATATAGTTCCATCCAGCATAATAAGGGAAACTCTAGCCTTCAGCCGGCGGATAACTCGCGAGCATCCGTCATCTCATACGTGCGACGCGTGTCCTGCGTCAGGCCCACTTAGCACTATCTCTACAACGATTGATTTTCTTCCTTTCCTTTTCGATTTCTCTCCCACGAACGGATAAGGAGGCAGCCAGCCATGAGAATCTATGTTGTCGACATGGGAATCGATGCCGTTACAGCATGGTCTAGCACGAGCGCCGCCGCGGTCGGCTGCCTCCACCATGAATGTCGGCCGCCGCCGATCTCCTCGCCGGATCTAGCCGCCCAAGCTCTTGTGGGCTGCAGTAACGCCCGCGAAGTCAATCGCCATGGTGTGCAAGCTCCTATGGCGGAGTGTTCGAAGGCGACGAGGCTTTGGAGGCGGTTTTGTTTTTGCAGCAAAGGGCATATTGAAGAGCACTGTTTCATAAAAAACTCAAATTATTTTTCTGCAACAAGGTCTTTGTTGCGATAAATTTCTGCAATAAGAGCTTTGTTGCAGGATTTTTCTGTAACAAGACCTCTGTTGCGGGAATTTCTTGCAACAAGAACTCGGTTGCAGAAATACCGCAACATCACTTTTGTTGCAAAGTGATGGTTGCTCACGTGGACACATCATACGGCTATTAGGGTGTCCATCCAATGGTCAGCGAGGCGGCGGATATTTTTTCATTATCCGTCGATCGACGCGTAGCACTGCCCGCATAATAATCGTCGGTTTACCAGATGTGGATGACTTTGCCACCCTAATAAATTCTGTATAATGGGACATCTTTAAAAAAATTTACAGGATCCTGCAAACTCTGGGTCGTTTCCGCCATATATACGGGATTTGTCACATTTTTTTGCCGGATCCACCTTTTCCTTGTGTGAAGGTCATTTTCGCTCGTTTTCGTTTCGGCTCCACTTCCCGCCGGTTCTTGGTGCCCCTGGCTGCCTTGCATCGTCCATTAGCTCTGCTGCCCCGCGCCGCATCTATTCCACCAAATTTGGAGGTCGGGGGTGCCCATTTGTGTCTGCGAGCGAGTGGCCATCGCCGACGCCACGGATCCGCCCCGGAGCTTTGCGTGCGGCCTTGTAGCCAGTGGATCTGGTTGTTTCCGGCACCGGTGAGCCCCGAAGTCGTTGGAGGGACAGTCGCGCATGCCAGAGGAAGGGGTTTCGAGCGGCTTTGCTTCAGCCGAAGGGGAAAGAAGAAAGGGGCGGTCGGCTTTGCTTCGGGGGAAGATATGTTCAATGCTCGCTGACTATTTTGAATAATTTTGACCGGGAGAAATTCATGGCCGGGCATTTTTTTAGATGGATCAGAGTTCATCGTCGTCGTCGGATGATGATTCGGACATACAGAGATGATCCTGGACGACGATGTCGACAACCTACTGTTGTTGCATCTCGTGGACAAATTTGAGAAGGGACCGAAGAGAAAGCGCTGCGGATCCATGGTTGACCGACCATGCATTCCCCATGATCGAGTTCTCGGTGACAAGATGCCCATGAAGGACTACTTCACGAAGGTGTCGACATATTCGGCTCACCTATTCCATAGGCTATATCGGATGCGTAGCTCCCTTTTCGTACGCATCGTTGAAGCTTGTGAGCAAAATTGCCATTTTTTCACTCGGCGTAGGAACGACGCCATTTTGGTTGGGTTTAGTGCATATCAAAAAATATCGACGGTGATGAGGGTGATTACATATGGTGTTTCCGCCGACTACGCAGATGAATATCTTCGCATTGGAGAAGATACCCCCATCAAATGCATTCAGGTCTTTTCGAAGACAATGACCCGGTTTTTTTGGCTTATGAGCTCCAAACGAGGAAGACATAAAGAAGCTCATGGCGATGAACAAAGAAAGGGAATGACCGAGCATGCTAGGTAGTATTGATTGCATGCACTGAAGGTGGAAGAACTGCCTGATGGCTTGGGCAATACACCGTCCACAAACGTAAACACCATTGTGCTTGAAGTCGTGGCTTCACGTGATTTATAGATTTGGCATTGTTTCTTTGGTTTGTCAGGGTCCCTTAATGATATCAATGTCCTGCGGCAGATCTTATCTATTTTCTCAGCTAGCTAGTGGCGAAGCTCCGACTTGCAACTATACCATCAATGGTCATGACTATACAACTAGATCATAATAGCGCGCGTTGCCGCGCCCGTTCAACATTTTGACTATAGAATGTTTGGAGTCCGTGTAAATATATAGAGGACACAATATAATATAAGCCTATTTGGCCACAACTTTATTCATACACTGGTAAATTAATCCTCTATTTATTTTTGGACCGGCGAGAGTACTTGAAAAACATAGCTCTCTTTTCTAGAAAATAAAGTACTCCTAAAAGTCATACGTATTTCACAAGGAACGGCCATCAACAGGTTTCCAACATTTCGACCTGTGAAAGTACTTTGTATTTAAGCGTAAACAAGCAGGGATACAACAAAAGAAAGTTGTTCACACCTTATTTGAATAGCTTCTTTTGCGAAAGAGATTCCTTCCCATTCGGCATGCATGCTTACGCATTTGATTTGTCAATTGCAAAACCTGTCTCACACACACACACATAATGGATGCATAGCACACCGCATACTAAAAACAACATAATGGAAAAAACCAAAAAGAAAGGCTCTATGAACAACCGAGGTGAATAGGGACACAATACCAACCCGGTTTGAATATCTCTTAATCTTGAAGTGGCACACCCCCAAAATCATAAAGCAAATATATCATGCAGCAACTTTCCTGAAGTTTCCTCGGACAATCAACAGAAAAAGGAACGATCAGTAGTATGCAGTGGAGTAGACCGAGCAAGGGAAAAACAAAATCTCTTCAAGCAAGGAGGTACCTAGCAAAACAATCTATGTTTGGTAGTTTTATCACAAATCAGAGGAACACTAAGGACGTACGTTGATACAGCTCACTGGATGAGTGGGAAAGTATCTAGTGTTCCCAGACCTAGGGTGCTTCCTGTGCTCCGATGCGAAAAACATTTTTTAAAATGTTCAAAAAATTCTGAAAAAATGTAGCACATCGACGGAACATCGATGTCTCTTGTCACGAAATTTCAAATAAAAAACCGAAACATTGCTCGAGATACAAAAATGACAAATATGACATCAATGTGATAATGGGCCAAAACTAAAGCCCAACTTATATTATGTACAAAATTTTGTCATTTCTGTATCTCGAGCAATGTTTCAAATTTTGATTTGAAATTTTGTGACAAGAGACATCGATGTTCCGTCGATGTGCTGCATTTTTTTCAGAATTTTTTGAACATTTTTAAAATATTTTTCGAACATTTGGAGCACCGGGAGTACCCCAAAACTGGGAGCACTAGATACTTTTCCCCTGGATGAGTAGCATTCCCAAACTAATTGCACATTTGCACATGAGCACACAGCTCTCAGAAGCTACTGAATTTTGAATACAATAGACCGATAGCAAAGGAACTAATTGATAGACTGTAGCCAACTGAGATTGACCTAATGGCACGAACGACAATGCGAGGCAACGAAAAAAATGACAGAACTGAAACACTTACATGATAGGAGATCGGTTTTCTTGTTGCCGGGGAGAGCGCGCGGATGGAGAGCGATGCGGCCCCGATCATTCTGTAGGTTCACCTCCTAGAGCCGCATGATCCAGACTCCAGGGACGGTGAGAAAAAATAGGGGCGGCGGGAGGGGGATACAGAAGACAGCCGGCTGAGGCAGCCTCAACACGAAAAGGAGAAGGGCACGCATGAAACATTAGTCCACCATCACCACTACCGGCAAGAAAAGGAAACGAAAAGCTCGCACAATATAACGGCAACGCTCTGCCTTTCCCAGCAGACGTAGAGAGAAGAAAAGGCACGAGGCGGACATCGCATACACAGCCCACTTAACGCGTTTGTCGAATAGTCGGCCCAGTAAATGTAAGGAAACCCAGGTCAACCCACGGAGCAGCAGCCCAGATACGGCTGTCCAGTCATGCAGCGGGATTTGAGGCAGGAAGTAACGCCCAAATGATCACATACGTCTGTACATGTGATCCGATGGCCGAGGAGCTCAAATCTTTGAGAGGGCTCGTAGGTGGCCCTTCAATGTCAACATTTGTGGAGACCATCAGTGACCCCAAACCCAAGAAACACAAAAGATTTTCCGAAGCACAAGAAGCTTGCCGAAAGGATATTGAGAGGGCATTTGGTGTGTTGCAATCTCAGTTTGCCATTGTTTGATGTTTCACTCGATTATGGGATAAAAAATCCTTCACAAACGTCATGGCTGCTTGTGTAACTTTACACAAACATGATCATCGAGGATGAGAGAGATTTGGACTTAGAGTTTTACTATGACAATGTTGGTAGTCGTGTGCTACTTGTGTTAGGCGTTGGGATTCCCTGAAGAGAAAGGGTGAAGTAGTGTAGTAGCAAAAAATATTTTCCTTAGTTAAGAACCAAGGTTTATCGAACCAATAAGAGACACCACACAAATAGGATAAACGGTACATGCACACACGCAAAGCAAATGCTTGCACCCAACACAGGCAAGAGGGTTGTCAATCCCCTTGTTCTCTCCAATTGGAAGGATTAAATCTGATAGAGGTAGATATATAAAATAAAATATAATATAAACAAAGTCAAAACAGCGAGCAAATTTAGGGTTTTAGTAAATATGGAAAATGGACCCAAGGGCCATAGGTCCACTAGAGGCATCTCTCTCATGAGCATAACAATGG